TGCTCATCTTATCCTAAGCACCGATGAGTTGGCACATTAATTCATTGGTGGATAAAGATTTTGTGAGTTCCAATCCACCAATGAATTAATGTGCCAACTCATTGGTGTTTAGGATAAGATGAGCACCGGTGCTCATTAGATCATTTCTGTATATATATATATATATACACGGTTAGCGGGTCTTGAGTTTTGTGTCCTGTCACCAACTTGCAGCTTGCATGACCTAAGATTGCTTTGCTCACAAGAAGATATTCATTACCCTAAAATGCAAATTAAACCAAGGTATTGTTTGGATATCGATATTTGTTTTTCGATAATTATTGTATAATATTATATATTAATTTGATACATGAATTTGTTAGTACTTACAAATCATTATTAGTTAGGACTTTATCTTCAACTTGACTCATTCTAAAATTATTTTCTTGGTACGTCATTTCTTCTAAATCTTCACCAGATATTTATTGTTACTGTAATTTCTTAAATCTTCACGAGATTTTCTATATAATTGAATAACTGATAAGTGTGTTTTACCCACTTATTTATGCCACAAAATATTGATAATTGTTGTCAAATATATTAGAATATGGCTTAATTCTATATAAATTATGTTTTGTAGGATAACATTGATGAACATGGTGAAATTTAGGAAAAAATGAGTGGAAAATGACTGAAATGGAAAAAAATCGAAGTTTAGAGACCAAAGTGCAAATTGTCGAAAGATGACCCGGAAGAAGAAATGAGGATGTGGAATAGTCAAAAACCAATTGAGTGAAAGAATAAAGTACTGGAAGAAGAAGAAGCAAGAAAAGAGCAAACAACAAGAAAATGGAGTTCGGGGGACTAAAACACAACATTTGGATTTTAAGCTAAAATATGCGGTCGCATAGTGTATATACTATGCGGTCACATGGTGAGTTTCAGGAAATTTCTGGAATGAACTTTGTCGAACTATGCGGTGGCATGTGTTTGTACTATCCGTTGCATAGTACAACGTCAAAGGAAAAATTCTGATTTTCTTATTTGAATAAAACTCTAATGGAAACAAATCTCGAGCGTATTTTAAAAATCTAGGACTGTTTAGAAGTAGTTATCATGTATTATAACATATTTGAAGAGATTTTGGGGAGTATAGAAGAATGCAAGAAACACGAAAATCGATTTCACCAATAAAGATTATTATTATTAACTTAGGTGTCCATCTAGTAAATGAAATACCGATAAAAAATTTAAGCGTGTTTAGATTGCTAAACCATCTTCTGGAAAATATATTAAACCGCGGGCCGGCTGTCTTTATAATATTTAAGATGATCTATTATACGTAATCGAAGTCGTTTATTCTCAATTCTACACCATACATATAATCCTCGAAGACTTCTTCAATTTAAAGATTCTATGTGTATTTCGTAAACAATTCTACATACTAATTAGTTGAATGATTTGACGGAAAGGGTAGGTACAATAGTATGTGAGCTTGTTTGTGAGGGATTAAAATATGATTAAAATTGAAAAACTAGTCGTTATTGTTGACTTTTATTAGACGAGTGAGACTCAATAACGGCTATATTTTCAATTTTAATTGGATTAAAATTCCTTCCAAACAAGCTCACAGTATAGTCTAATATTGCAAATTTAACAAGTCCAAAGCTACGTAGTATTAAACACGACGGCGAACAATATTTTGGGAGAATGTTTAGTTACAAAGTAAAAAAAAAAAGTTTTAGATTTACGTATAAATTATTTTATTGACAGAATGTGTGGTTAAAAATAAGTATAAAAAAAATGAATTATCGGATAATTGCCTCCATCACTTTCTTCCAATTTGGCATATATCGCCACACACTATCTTATAGATTTGGCTCTCTTGTTTTGAAATATAATTAGATTAGAATATTCATAATACTTGGCATCTTGAACTTTCACCAACTAATTCTAGTCATTAAAAAAATATAAAGCATGCAAATAATTGTCACACACCAACTTTTTCGTGCGATTTTAACTAACAATTGTGGGACATTTTGGTGATAATAATGTTAGCCAATCGAACACCTAAGACTGTAATTGACATACTTTGAGGACGTCCCAGTAGTGGAGTTAATTATGCACCTTGGAAAATATCTGTTAAATTTAATGACCAGATTCAGACAATTTGAAGAGTCACTATTTGCCCTAATTAAGCCATCTTTTCTTGACACTGAGGTTGATTTATCGACTCATCTGTCATGAAATGATCAATCATCTCATCTAAAATTACAATCTATTAAAAGAAAGTTTCGGATATACATTTAAATTGTTTTCAACGGAAATCAACGGTATGACATATTCAAAAACTCTTAAATCATCCATAGGTTAAGGAAATTTCCAACATTTGATGATTATTCCCAAGTGATCCCTCGAAAAATATGGAATAAGAAATTGGGACTTAATACTTCCAGTAGGCTATAATTGATCAAGGTATTGGTATGAAATAATCCAATATTTCATGACCAATTTGTAACGACGTAGGTCTGTGTTCAAACCGTTATATTATACGTATTGTTCGTTTGAAAGAGTTTGTGCATATTTTATCTCTCACGGCTTTCTATCGCATCTTTCAGGATTCAAACTCAAGACCTTTATGCTATGAAAGACTAAGTTAAAACCTGATATCAATTGAACAAGCCGTGAGAGGTCGAATGGGAGCATGCTCTCTCAAAGCGGATAATACGTATAATGTAACGGTTTGACACATACCCAGATTGTTATACAATAAGTTCCCAACCCATACCAATTAGGGTTTGATAAATAGAAAAATGTTATCATTGTTGATATGTTTTCAATTATTTCAACTTTCCCCATTGTTTTCTTTAACATGTGTGGTCTTTTTCATATTTATTAATTAATTGTGATGAAATATATATCTACTTGTTGGTCATAATTTGGGAACATGGCTAAGGGCCTCACCCCCTGGGGACTGGGGTCCAATGCCATGCCTGATCTTCATCGATACACTAAAATTAAGTGATTGAATTTTATATTCATTTCCTCTTGCAAATCTTAATAAATTTACAAGTAAATGGGGGAGGTATGAGTATCAAAGAACAATCATAGCTTTTATAGTACAAGCTTTGTCTATTGATCCTCTCCTATTAGCTTTTTAAGTTTGTGGATTCATCATTGTCAATTTGTCTCCTTTAAACCATATCGAGTTGAATTCATGATCTTTTAAATTAATTTACGAGAGAGTGTTTAACTATTTATAAATTTGCGAGTTAGACCTTAATTTAAGGATGTTAGATACAATGAGAATTGTCACAACCGACATTTACGATGACCCATATTTTCAACTAGATAATTTTACCGAATAAGTCTTTTACTGAAAGTAGTCATCCCCGAAACAGTGCATGCTCTAATAACAATCGTAATAACTATATCGAACGGAATCTCATCTTCAAACCAATTTGTCAAATACATACAAACATAGGGCACATGGAGGGTTGAAAGGGATATGAAAGGACCTCATTAGCTACAAATTTAGATGTGTAACGTTATTTTCTACCAACTGTAACTTATAATTATTTACCCAAAACGTTAAAACTTCAGACATTTATATTGGAAATTAATCCAATAATAATGATGGTTTAGTCCTGAGTATGAATTTAATTTCTTTCACAGAAAAGGGGAATGAAAAGGGTCACACAAGAAAGTTACTGCTTCACATTATTATTCCCTTGCTCTTGTTCAAGTGTAGTTGAGTTGGTGGCTGATGACCACTGGTTTTTAATTCATGGGGGACCAACTCTCACTACCACAATTAATCATCTTAATGGATAGAAAACAAAAAAAATTATTACCTTATGTGCTATTCTCGACCTCTGTCTAACGAGTGATTTTTGGTACCAGCTGGGCAAGAGAATGAAAAATTGGGAAACTAGTTCGGTTATAGTTTATAAACTGAACATGAAAAACTCAGGATGAAACTCAAGTAACACTGCCCATTGAGAGCACATCTCAGGGTTTAAAGTGTCGTACTAAGATCGAACGAACTGGGAGTATAAAATATTAATTAAAACAATAAAAGGTAAATAAAACTTGGATCATGCTACATATATCGAATTTTTTTACCGAATCTTTTATCTACTACTCACAATGGGATGGGGATCACATTGTCAGAATTTTTAAATACACGCGGGTCCCGCACATTATGTGAGAGGGGATAATCCATTATGTACAAATGGATGAACCCATAAAACTTTAAGAGGAACGAACTAGTTCTTTGACTTTAGAAGTATAACTGGACTAGTTCTCAGTTTTCTAATGGAATTCAGTATTCAAAACATTGTTCGGTATTAAAAGCATCTCTCGTTACAATGAGAATTTGATTTTGGAATAGTAATTCTTCGGAGAATGTGGGTTAAAAATGAAGGAAATTTTTTGGCTTTAAGTGAAATATTATTTCATTGGAGAATGTTTGGCCGATAAAAAGACAAAAATGAGTTATAATTTAATGGGGGTGAAACAAAGGACAGCAGATTGAAATGTGGTGGAATTACCTGATACCCCCGTAGTCTGGTCAACCAATAACTATTGATCCCTAGGGAACTGTAAAAAATAATTAAAAAAATTGAGCTACTCTTATTATTTTGCTGCATTCATTCTATTCATGTTTATTATATATTTATTTTTGCCATTTGAAAGTTTCAATAGCTGAAACTCACATGAACTGGCAAGACATAAAGAAATAAACCTTCAAAGTTTCTGTCTCAAAGTTCCGTTCTTTCCTCAGTCCTAAGATGCAAAATTTTAGGTAAGAGAGTCGTATTTAATTCATACATATGCGCCTGTCAGTAATCTTGATTTCCATTGTCTTTCCTCTCATTTATCATCTTCTTTAGAATATTTCCAGGCTCCAATTCAATCTCTCCTTTCTTCTTCAGACAGACACAACTCTTAGTATGAGAGACTTTGCATCTTGTTTTAGTGAATATGCAGTGCAGGTTTCTGATACATCATGTTCAAGTTATTCAAATAATTCTTGTATTTCTCCTAATCTGATCCCTTCAGTTCAAAATGCTGTCACATGTTTATATAGAATCAAACTCTCCACTCAGAAGCAGATTTTGATTACAATCACATGGTGCAAGAGCAGTTTGACTCAAGGTCTTAATATAACCTTTGGTGATGATCAATCAAGCGCCTTCAAACTAAATACGAATTCGCGCTTATTCAGAAAGTTGAAAGGCAGCAAATCAATTGAATTCCAGAATAACGAAATTGAAGTTTACTGGGATCTTTCTGCAGCTAGGTACCCTACAGGCCCTGAACCTGTTGACGGATATTATGTCTTTATCACAGTTGATTCAGAGCCAGGCCTAATTCTTGGAGATATGGCTCAAGAAGCTTGGACGAAAAAGCTCAAAAATGGCACTCAAATGGCAAAATCCTCATTAATTTCGCGCCAAGAACATTTCTCCGGCAATACCCTTTATTCGACCAAGGCTCAATTCTGCAATACTGGTGCTGCTCACGACATTTTGATTCGTTGTAGTGGAGAAAACGAAGGCCTAAAGCATCCGGTGTTATCAGTTTGTATCGATAAGAAGATTGTAATTCGCATAAAGCGCTTGCAATGGAACTTCAGAGGAAATCAGACAATTTTCTTGGATGGTTTGCTTGTTGATCTCATGTGGGATGTTCATGATTGGTTCTACAATCCAGCCTCAGGATATGCCGTGTTCATGTTCAGGACCAGAAGTGGTATGGATAGCAGATTGTGGTTAGAAGAGAAGCAGTTGCAGAAAGATCAAGATCAAGTGGAATTCTCATTATTGATCCGCGCCTGCAAAGACCTATAGAAGACAAATTTTATGGGTTTTTTTTTTTCACTTGTCCTGTTCCTTTTACAATATTCTCGATATATTTTTTATTTTAGTAGTTTGATCTTGGCAAACTGACAATAACTTGAACAATGTAAACTCTTATTCCTTCTTTTTTCTTGGTTTGAAACTGCGAGTGCTAGATTGATATCATGTATATTATATGCTCATTAATTCTTTTTCTTCTTTTACATACCCATGTTTGTAAGTGTGATTCAATACCTTTGATTTCTCTGATAAATTGATTATCGACATTTCTTCACCGTCTTTGATTTTAGAGTGCTCTTACACATTCAAAAGAGGGTGCATTTTTATTTTTACTTTTTACAAGATCTGCAAAGCCCATATGAGGCAAAAAGACTACAAAAGACACCCAAAATGATCATTTAGGATTTTGAAAGATTTCAATGAAGATTACTACATGTGCTTTTAACATTCGAGAAATGCTGCAAGTACTGAAAAAATTCGATTTTGCACAACAGCTGTCTTCCTGTGCAAAATCTGTGGAAATTTTCAGTACCTGCAGTTTTATTCTTTACATTTTTCAGGAAAGGTCCCTATAACCCTGAAAAGGAATTAAAAACTGGAGATTCTTCTGAAAAAGGGTCTAATTAGTCAGTCAGTCTTTATATGGGCACAATTCTTCTGTTATGTATTTTGATCTTTGAAAAGTTTGAACCAGAATTTAGGCAAACCATAAAACAAACAAACTACATGGTTTCATCCATAAGTTGGCACCGGAAATTTAGGCAAAACAAATGACTTGACGGAGTATATCAGAACCCCTTTGCATTATCTTTGGACCACATTCATGGGACCCTTAACTTTTCACTGGAACTCTTTTAAGACTAGGCTAGGAGGAGCCAATTTGTGGTCTCAAAACATGAACAGTTGTTACACATGATCTTTGCATGTTACGAGCTGCACTATTATTACACTTCATAACACTTTTGGATGAAAACAATTAACTGTACTTCCATGCCCGGTTTGGTAGGGTAGACTGTATAAAGAAATTAAAATCTTGTCTGTTCTACTCTTTAGACATGTCGAGTATTGCGAACTAAATATGCATCTAATCTCATTAGTCGGCACGGGGCAGCTCTGGGGCGTGTCCAAGTGTTGTGATGGGTTCACTAATTAAATTATAAGTTCAGCAACTCTGTAATCTGTAGAGGAACGTAAATACTTAAAGGAGTAGGGTCTATTGATTATTTTACTTATTTCTACTTTTTTTTTTAAATATATACAGCTGCCAATTAACTTACCTAAATCTTGGCCCAAGAACAACAACCAATTGGATCTAATGCTTCAAAGTTCGTGCAAGTGAATGATATTAAAAATTCATAATTTACTCATGTTGAACATTGAAAATTCCCAGTGGTACTTTTATATAACTCAGAATTAATGGTTTCCTGGACCAAGTTTATGTAGGACCGGAGTGGGATTGAAGCAATTCATTGCTTCTTATTGAATAAAAAATTCCCTTTATGGTTTTGTAAGGGTCACTTCTGGTCTTCTGGAAAAGAATTCAAATCTGTTTATGAACAATACAAAAATAATGCAATTGGAGATTCCATGTTATGATGCTCAGATTCAACCAACATGAAATGACCTTGTACAAGGAGGGATAAATACTATTCAAAGATTCGTTTAGGGTTGTTGTATGTTTATCCCTTTCGCCTAAAAGTTTAAGCATACAAATATATAGTATTGCACTACTGGTCACATGTTATTGAAGTTAATGGATACGTGTCAGAAGCAAAAAATTAAGAAGTTTATTTACTTTTTTTAAACGTTTCTTTGGAATTTTCAAAAAGTTTCAATTTTCAAAACGCATATAAGATGAATATGTAAATTTTATAAGTTCTCATGACAGACAAGTTATTCTTAGAAGGAATAGCAACACAACTTGGTTAAAGCTACAAAATTTTCCCATCTGTCAGTATGTCATGACCGGTGATGGTAACAGGTAAGCAAGTTTGCCATCAAAATAATGGTCTTTATTGCATGGCCAAGTGGTTAGGACTATTTTGTCAGTAAGGACTGAGCAGCCATAAATGGATTGGAAGTCATCTTTTCTTTCGACATAGTTTTGGGTGTCAAACATTTGCTGCTGCTGCTGCTTTGTTCCCATCAGCAAAAATATTTAAATCGTGTTTTATCTTTTTTCCAGTCCATTTCTTCCTCTCTTGATTACAAATCACAAACTTTTTTGTAGGATGGAAATCGGCCGGGACAGGTGTTAAAATATCTTCACTTTCTGCCCGATATACCCTTTGTGTAAATTCAGGATAGGGATCCCCTCCCCCGATCCTGCCCAATTTTGGAAATTCACACCCCATTAAAGGTGGAACATTTTGCCATCTCCAAATGGGAAATTTTAAATGTGAATCATGCGTTAACGAGTTATAATTTCAAAAAAATTATACACATTATAACAACAACACAGTTTAATTTATAGCTTCAAAGAAATTGCATATACCGTGACATGATTTAAATGTAATTAGCATAGAGTCAAAGTTACAATCATTTTAACTTATTAAATATAGGATTTCTATATAAAAGTTACATTCACACCAAAAAATTATAAAAACTTGGTAATATACAAAAAATTCATACCAAAACTAATTAACAAATTTTCGTCAGGTCTTTGTGAATTGTGATGTTGCCATTCCTATAAATTCACCTGATTTTTCAACTTCATCCCCTAAATATTGCATACTTCATAAAATTAATCCAAAAAAGATTTAGCCTAACCAGTTCACATCAAAGTTCAATTCTAGTTGCCACCCTACATTCAAGTTCGTGAGATGTAGACTATCTTTCAATCATTGTTGAGGATTCCTCTATTTATTTTGTTATGCAAACTCGGACGATTTCTATTTGAGTTTTTTATATCCTTTTGAATGGATCCACAAAATACGTGAATAGTAATTATGAATGTACGATTAAAATTAATATTTAACTTGGACTTCTAATTATAAGGAAATCAAATGAGCGTTTGAATTGTTGCATTAAATTTTTCTTGAAATAAATTGAGATCAAGGGGAAGTTGGGCCACATACAAGTGGATATCCCACAATATCATATAGATTACAGCAGATTTCGACCACAATTTAACATTAAATTGTTAAATGATGGCTCGTTTAGAATATCAATCTTAAAATTTATATGATCGTTTGAATCTTTATAGCATTTAAATGTTCGTTCGAACTTAATGAACTCGAATACTATATTAAATTTTGAGATTTTATCTTAAAATATCAACAAAAATAACACAAACACGGATGAACGTAATTGGCGTCTTGGCAGGCTTGGTTGGCCCGGAAACAAACCATATTTGATTTGTCAAACTTTGCCAGGGCCACACGGGCTGCTGGCCATTCGGCCCTTGGCATGCTCAAAACTTGTTTTCAAAGGCCTCTTCTAGCTCAAATAAAGTAAAATATTTAAGAGTCATCAAGTATGGCCTATTTCAAATCAAATAAATAAAATTTACTTTTTCAAAAATAAGATATTAATTTAAATTTTATTAATTAAATATATTAGGGTCACATTATTATATAATTTATGATTACAGTTACAGACGTCACGATCATAAGCAACAAATTTTACGGGTCAAAATTTTTTTATCAATTACAATTATATAAATTAATTGGACACATATTATTTTTTAATCACAAATCACAAATTTTATGATCCACAACTTATTTAACGGTTACAAATTATTTTTAGGTCACACATTATCAAATTAATTGTGTCAAATTATTTAACGATCATTATTCAAAACATTTATATGTTACAATTTATTTATAGGTCACAAATCAAAAAAAATATAGGTCACAATTTATTTACCGGTCATAAATCACAAATTTTATAAGTGACGATTCAAACTTTTAGGTCACATTGGTCACAAAATACTCAATTCATTGGTCATATATTATTTACTGGTCACAATTAACAAAATAATTGGTTACCCACCCCACGCCATCCTACCCACAGTCACCATACTACTGCCACTGCCACCATTGTAGCCAATATCACAACCACCACCACCTTATCTCCACCCCATGCCACATCATAGCCACCAACAAAATCCCAAACCCGCCACTGTTATCAGCACTTTCAATACACTACAAATCAATCTCCACCTCTGGCCACCACAAAATCAGAAAAAGAAAGAGAAACGGAAAACAAAGTCACTGATAAGAGTAGTATCTACACTTATTTAATGCCCTAAATCATGATATTTTATTGTATTTTGGATCAAATTTCATATAATTTATGTTATATTGTATTTTATAGGTACAATTCTATGGTTAATGAAAAATTGGAGAAAAGAATATAAAAGTAGCGAAAAATGACAAAATTCAAAGATGAAACATTAGATAAAAATATTGCATTAAATGTGTTAGAGTTAAATGAATATCAATGAACTTGTAATGAAAATTTTAATTGGACCAAAATGTGACTGATATATATATAGAAACACGAGGAAGGAAGTCAAAACGCGTCTAAAAAAAGAGAAAGACGACGACTGAAGTAAGAGGAAAAAGAGGAGAAAAGAAGAAGAAAGATGAGAGAGACAGAGAAGTTGGAGTGAGAAAAGTCAAAAAGAAAAATAAAAGGCCGTAGAAAGGAAAGAGAGAAAAAAGGCAAAGAGAAAAGAGAGAAAGAAAATGAGAGAAGAAAGAGAAAAATGAAAGGAGACGGCAGCTACGAGTAGTTTCACATTTCGTCAATTTTTGGTGATATTTTTCCACTTTTGCGTGTTTTTATTTTTACAGTATGATTAACTAATTTTCATATTATGGAAAATAATGTAGTTGACTTGTGATCGTTTATTTTTTTATTCAAGATTTATGTGATTTATTCTTATATGTGTAGGTTTTACTATGAACTTAATGCTTTGAAT